GGTTTTAATACTGATAGCATATCTTGTAGAGAAAATGTCATTAGTGAGACTGAAAAAAATGATCAAGGCTCATTCATTTCTAGATGGCCTTTAAATGATAATGTTTCAGAGCAGCTAAAAGTACCTGATGAGATAAATGCACATGTGGGGTTTGACATCAAGCAATAGTCTATCTGGCAACCTCGGCTGGTAATCAAACAATTACAAAATAGAAAGTACATCTTGTACAAGCTGACAGGGCCATTAAATCAGGAGAGCTGTGGGCAGACGTACTGACACTGCAAGAATTACCAGAAAGCATTAATTTCAGCATTAATAAAATGGCAGTAAATAGATGACAGCTGCCAGATGAACTAAGAAATAAGGTTACTGGCCTTGTTAAGCTCGCGTCTCATTTTCTCAGGCACAAACTGATCGAGGTAGCGTCTGAAGTGAAGTGCGTCGATGGCAACGATTTCAGTGCAGCGGCGCTGCCAGTCGTCCCTGGGTCAGGTCACGATGGGGAGAAGATAAGAAAGAGGTAACATCCCTCAAACGCAGCCCCGGCAGGGTCAGACTATTGACACTTGGACAGCATTAAAATATTAAAAATGATGTGACTACAGGTTTCAGGAAACTATTTCACTTTTAGACTTAGAGACACACACATTGTGCATTGCTGGCATTAAATAAAAAGAAAAATCAAGAGACAACACAGAAATTGTGGACACATACATCATTACAGCGAGTTTCAAAGGTTAAAGGCTTTGGAAGCAAACAAAAGGAATTCAGGTCTTTGTTTCCCTCTTGTACTAAGGATGTGGAATTTACAGTTCACTCCTTTGTTCTGAGAGATATGCTCTAAATTACTGGCATGTAACATCAACACATACTGTCCAAATGCTATGAAAAATGGGTAATAATTCAGTGCAATATTCCACCTACTGTGCTCAATTACTGACTGCAAGAAAGTATTTTTTAAAGACAAAAGACTCAAAGCAGACAATAACATGTTGATTGGTGATGTACAAAGTACTAGGTGGGACAATAATTTTAGGAATGTGTAAAATTCTAAATATTTCATCTCTTTTTAAAGTTTCACATATTGATATGCCAAGCAACTTCTCACTCTGCAGAACAACGGAAACCTTCATGTTAGTCTGTGAATAATTATTGGGAGTAAACACCCACACAGATAACTACTGCAGCCACAAATTTTACACAGAACAGAAGGCAAGAAAGCAGAGGCTGATGTGAGCCATTACAAGAGCAAGTATGGCACAGATTCAGCTCCCTGGGCAATAGCCAGCTTCTTTCTGCCAGATGGCTCACTAAAAAACGATCTGCCCAGGGTAAAGGACAAAACTGAGTGGGGAAACAAGAAGTTAAAGTCTGAATATACTTCAAGAGGAAACAGGACGGCAATGGTGGAGTTCACTGCAAGTCCCGCTGGCAGTGGTTTGTGGCAGTAGGCAAACTGTCCCAGTGCAGGTTCCTCCATCCAGCGAATCTCACAGAGAAATGGAAGGGAGGGAAATGAGCTGGCCAAAGGCTCTCAGCTCCTTTTAGAACTGATTCAATGGGTTGGGGATATAGCTCAGCAGCACAAGCACCTGCCTGGCAAGAGCGAGGTCCTGAGTTTGATTCCCAGTACCAAAAAAAAAAAAAAAAGAAAAGAAAAGAAAAAAGAAAAAGAAAAAGAAAAAGAAAAAAAACTGATGTAAAATAAGTGCCAACTTGAAAGTTCACCTCCACCACACTCAGGTGGCAGCTTAGAGGGAAAGAACTACAGAGAACTCTCTGCCTTGTTTTTGCTGTAGATGTCTGTTTTTTATTGTCTGTTCCTTCCTTTGGTATATGGAGACAGTAATATGGATTTTTTTTCTAATATAACAAAAGACAGTTTATTTGGAAAAAAGATGGAAAAGCTAAGATAACTACTGTGGGATAGTAGAGGGAAATCGGAGCTGAATGCCCCATTTTTCTTTTTTTGGAGACAGGTCTCACTAAGTAGTTCAGGCTGGAATGGAAATCATGGCAACCCTTCTGCCTCAGCCTCTTGAGTGCCGAGATTACAGGTGTACACAATCGCACCTGGCATTAATATAGTTTTAAGTGCCAATGAACTTGTAATACTGAGGTTAAAAAGAAAATCCAACTGCTGGATGAACAGCCTAAGGGACACAGAACACACCAGGGCAAACCAGACACACCTTCACTTTGAGCCTCGCAACACCAAAAGTCAGAAAACAGACTCACCTTTCACTCTCATCTTCATGGCTGCGAGCCCAACGGTATGTTTCAGCATAGCCAATGTATTCACTGTACTGTTCAGTACCTGAAACAAGTAATCTGTGACTATTCACTTCTTACTCAATGGTAAAAGCCTCCTACTTTAGGTCAGCAACAAGGCAAAAGCACCACTGCCATTCAGCACTGTACTCGACAGCCTCCAGCTAGTGCAGTTAAGCAAGAAAAGAAGTAACAGACATGAAAAATGTGAAAAATTAATAGGCTGAGCGCGTAGTTCAGTGGTAGAACACATGCTTGATTTGGGCGAGGCCCTGGGATCAAATCCTTAGCACCCAGAAACAACAAAATTGTCCATTTCTGAAGATGTCCTGATTGGTTACATAACAAAGCCTAAAAAACCAATGAAAGAAAAAATAGCTTGTAAGTTTAGTGAGATCAGAGTTCACTCTGTACACTAGCAGTGAACAATGGGAAAACGAAACTTTCAAAAATCCATTAACTATCATGTCCAAGAACTGCAAATATCTAGGACTAAATGTCCCAATGGTTGTAGAAGACACTGCTGAGAAAAAGCAAAGACTCAGATACAAAAGTACACTATCTGCTGGGATATTGTCATGATGGTCATTTCTGATCTACAGATTCACTTTAATTCTAAATAAACACAGTAGAATTATTTATTTATTTATTTATTTATTTATTTATTTATTTATTTATTTATTTATTTATTTTTGCTTTGAGACAGAGTCTCACTCTGCAGTTCACGCTGGCATTAAACTCATTATGTAGCCCAGGCTGGCCTCAAACTTCTGGTGATCTTCCTGCCTCGGCTGCCCAAGTGCTGAGATTGTAGGCGTGTATCACCATGCCCAGCTTCCCCAGTAGACTTTTTAAAAAGTAGTAACTGAGAAGAAATGTATGCCCATTTAAAAATTTATGTAGAGCAGCAAAAGAAATTTTGAAAAAAGAAGATTACAGGACTCATTTATCTCATTCAACATTTACTAGGTCTTGGCCCAAGGAAAGACCAACACATCAAGAGAACGACACAGAATCTGCAACAGTCAATTGCTTGTCAACGAAGGCTCTGAGTCTAGGAAAGGACACATTTTCCAGCAAATACTACTGAAACAAGTATTCATAGGAAGAAATAATAATAAAGCTCAACTGTTACACTACAAATACAATTTTGAGATGGATCACAAATATAAAATTATAAAACTTCTAGAATAAAACACAGGACAGTAGTTTTATTATTGCTTCCCTCCTTCCCTCCCTCCTCCTTTCCTTTCCTTTCCTTTCTTCTTTCTCTCCCTTCCTTTGTTTGTTCCTTCCTTCTTTCCTTCTTTCTTTCCCTCTCTCTCTGTCCCTCCCTCCTTCCCTTCTTTCCTTCTTCCCTATTCCTTTGCTCTTGGTACTAAGATTGAATCCAGGGCCTCTGCCTTGAACTACATTCCTAGGCATGCCTGGCTTCCCTTAATTTTCAATTTTGTGACAGGATCTTGCTTGGACACTAAATTGCTGAGGCTGGGCTTAAACCTGTGATCCTCCTGCCTTAGCTTCTGACAGTGCTAGAATTATAAGCATACACTACCAAATCCAGTGTGATAGGAAAGATTTCTTAAAATAGATAAAGAAAACAGTGACCATATAGTTTAGAAAAAGACCCAAACAAAGCTATACTGGATCAAAATTAAATAGTTCTGGTCATTACAACACCAATAAGAAAATGTTTAGGCAGGACTCAGGGGGAAATATCCATAAAACCAGTATCTGAACAAAGGTCTTATATTCAGAATACTTGAAGAGCACTCAACAATAATAAAAGCACCAACAACCCAATTTAGAAAAATGGGCAGGTGACTTGAACATGCACCTCACAGTGCAACATACACACTGGACAGCAATCAAATAAAACACTCATCACCTTAATCAGTCATAGAGAAATGCACTTTAAAGTCTCAATGAGATGCCACTGTACACCTGAAGAATGGCTGAAATAAAAGAAGACTGATGATACCACATGGCAACAAGGTTGTTGAACAAAGAGAAATCTCATATAGTGCTGGTAGAACCTTATAATGCCATCATATAAGATGGCACAACTCTGGAAAACACTTTGCAATTTCTTATAAAGTGAAACATATATCCACTTTTTGGCCTAAAAATTCCATTCCTGGGTATTACCCAATAGAAACTGAAAATATATGTCCACAAAAACCATACAGAAGAATGTCTACAGTAGGTTTATTCACGATAGCCATCCATTAGTCAGGGTCCAACTAGAGAAACAGAACTAGTAGGACAGTAGGACATACAGATGAAGACACTTATTACAAGGAGTTGGTTATACAACTCTGGGAAGCTGGCTCTGAGACACAGGCAGCTGCTATTGTCCATGGGATGTATTTCTTCTTCCTCTGCTCTTAAGGCCTTTCAACTGATTAAACTAGCCTCAGGCATATTGCCTTAGTTACTTTTCTCCTGGCTAGGACAAAATAGCCAACACCCAAAGTTTAAAAAGAAAAGGTTTATTTGGCTCATAGTTTGTAGAGGTTAAAGTTCATAGTTGGCTGCCTTCAAGGCACAGTGGCATGGCAGAGGGGCATCACAGAGGAGAAATAGTCCATGGCAGGCAGAAGGCAGCAAAGTGCAAGCAGCAACAAGCAGTAACAACAGTAGCCCTCTCTGTCCCTTATATTCTATATAGCTACCCATTCTTAGAACAGGCAGTGATCACACTCAGAGCAGAGCACCCTTTATTATCCTAGCACTGCACTGTGAATCAGTCCCAGCATCACAATTCTAGCATTATATACGCCAGATCCAGATATCTTCAAAAATCTCCACCAATGACCAAATGGGGCTATGGGGGGACATCTAGATACAAGACGTAACACACAGCATTGTGAAGAATCTCCCTTTTTAAAACTGATTGTGGACTTCAATCACATCTATAAAATATCTTTACAGTTAATAGCAAGATTAATGTTTCTTCAAATAATGGGGGTTGTAGCTTAGCCAAGCTGACATATAAAAAACACAACAAACTCAAAAGCAGAAACAATCCAAATGTTTATCAACAGAAAATTAGCAAAATACGCGGCATGATCATACAGAGGAATACTTAGTAATAAAAAAGAATCACTGATGTATTGAGAATACAGATAAATTTCACATACACTATGCAGAGGAAGATAAGACACAAAGTTATATAAATTTGTTTAGATGAAATTCTAGAAAAGACAAAACTATATAGACAGGACTCAAGGGAATTTTCTGAGGTGATGGATGGATACATTCCACGTCTTGACAGAGATGTGGGATACAGGAGCATGTGTGTTTGCCAAAACTCACTATATTATACACGTAACAGCATATATTTCACTGTGTATAAATTTTACTTTAAAAAAGTTATAAACAAGCATTAAATATTACTTAGGTTGCTTTTCTCAGTGGCACTATTTAGCAATTCTGAAACTACCTTCTGTATATTCTGGCCTGAAGAAAATGAGAAAACAAGGAAAGAGGAAGACTACAGAGTATGCTGTGATACTGGATGAGAAAGGGAGATATACATGAGTTCACAGGTGTTTGTGTGTGTGTGTGTGTGTGTGTGTGTGTGTGTGTCTGTGTACACACAGGTGGGTATAACACTATGTTCTAGGGCAAATCCTGGCTTCTAAAAGACTACTCTAAAATCTAAGACTCTTTAGAGAAATGGTTGTTACAGTGTTAAAGGGCAGGGAATATACAAGATGGGCCTAGAACATCTTTTGGTGCTAAAAAAGGGGTGTTCAAAGAAGAAAGTGCATTAAGACACAATGGACCTATGACAAAGGGATACAACAGGTGAAAGGAGCTCCCTCTGATCAAATGTGGGGCAACTTAGCATTAACAGATGACAGCAACAAATTATAGCCCACAGAATAAAAAGAATCTGTATCTATACAACCACTGCTAAATAAATATAAATAAGGAAGAAGAAAAAGTCCTTCTTTGCAGTGGAACATCAAGTACTAAATGTAGAATACAACAGTACCTCGGTTCATGAACTTAATTCTTTCCACAATTCTGGTCACAGAATTTGTTCCCCAATTCTAGTGTAATGAGAGTTAAAAAAAAACTTATCAATGGTTGCTAAAATTAGTAGGTGAAGCTTTGATGACAGGTTATTCGGAGTTTCAAAAGATATGAAATACATAATTACAGATTAATGACAAAGTAAAAAAGAAGAATCTGACAGAGAAGAAACCTGACAGACCACTTTGCCCATCATTATACCTGTGTCACTTGGAGGGAGAAGACACACAAGCAGGAACAATACCACTCTGTGGGACTCCTATTAGAATGAACCAACAAAGGGAAAAATGAGAAACTGTGCCAGCTTAAAGGACACATGACAAGTAAAAGAAGGTATGAGGCTGACTGGTTGAAGACTGGGGGAAAAAAGCTACCAAGGGCTTATTTGGATAACTGACAATTAAAACATAGACTAGGGATTAACAGAATTACATCAATTTAAATTTCTTGATTTTGATAACTGTGCTGCTGACTGAAAGAGATTGTTTTAATTCTTAGGAAATACAAATTTTTAGGAGAAAAAAGGGGGTAAAGGTCTCTAATACACGCTTAAATATTTCAGGACTAGAAAAAAAGACAGCTGAAGCAAATGAGGCAAAAATGTAAGTGGATAAACCTTAGTAAAGAGCATATAAAAATTCCATGCATTATCCTTGCAACTTTTGTGTAAGCTTAAAATTTATTTATACTCATATAAAAATATACTCATAAAGCTACGAAAAATATTCTTTTTATATGGCTTATGTTTTCCAGTAATTGTTAAAAATTTTAAACTCAATACTAGAGTTCCCAGTTTGTTCAGTACACTGCTTCTTAAAAAAGTCATTTATACTTCCTTGTTGATATTATTTTGTGGTAGTGGAAATTGAACCCAGGGCCTCATGTATGTTAGGCAAGTGTGCTACCTCTGAGTTACATCCTCAACCCTATACTGTAAGCCCTACAAATTCATCTAGAATCTTGGGCAAGATATTCATGCTACAAATCAAGAAAGTAATTACA